AATTAATGAAGAAAAAATCTAATTAGGACAAATGAATCATTTGATTTATGTAAATCAAATTTACACTTGGTAGTACACTTGCAGTGGAAACAAAGCAGAATATAGGAATTTAAAACAAACACTACTGCTTTGAAAGGAAATTGACCCTCCCTGAATTCAAAATTAATTTCAATTACACATAGAAACCTAGCTTGTCAACTGCATTTTCCTTGCTTTCCAAATGTACATTTCAAATAACCAAATTAGGATATGGCTGGTGGCTATTCAAATGTGCATATGATGTCCTTCTTAGCCTAAATAAAAGAGGCCTAAACACATTGACTAGAATTTTTTTTTGGATGCATCCATCCTTTCTGATAACAGAGCAAGTAACAAACAGCTGTTGGATTATCTGTGATTGTAAAGAAATACGTTGTTAAATTATCTTCATGTATAAATTCAAATATTTTTCCCTTTGCTATTATTCTTTGCTAAGCAACTAATTTGGGACAACAAGGACTAAAATAGAGAATATTTCATACAAAACAGCATAAAAAATAGAAAAAAGTAGAAAGAACATAATCAGCTTACCTGGGTAAAGCCTTCATAAATTCCTCTGCTCTGAAGAAGACATGAATTAAATGCAAATATGTATTTTGAAAGGCAAGAAAAAGATTTGAGGGCCTCGTCTTGTTCTACTTTGGCTTTATCTGGGTTGTCTAAATCCAAAATCTGATTAGCATATTTAATCTTATGCAGTGTCAGGAATGATCTACCATCCTTTAATCAGTCTATTATTATCTGTCTTAACCGTTCCTAATAGTCTGTTTATTTTCAAATGTACTTTTAGTACACAATGATGCTCTTGTTTCTTAGGAGCTTGAATACAGGTGTGTGTGAAACGTAGCTATGATGTTGATGTGGTGCAGATGAAGAGGAAGAAACCCAAACAAAAATGAAAACTCAGATGATGTAGTTTGGCCCTTTATCAGATAATTCACTTACCTTTGTGTGGTAGATCCAGGGGCAGAAGCAGTAAGGTGTATTGTATGGTGGAGGTTGCAGAGGTTAATTAAGAACATTTCAGTGTGAGTCTCATTTGAATGTCCTATGTTGACCTTGGGGAAGTCATTTGACTTAAAGTCCTCATTTGTAAAACTGGGATAAATAATGTAGGCCCTGATTTAGAATTTTTGAAATCCCACGAAATATGTAAATAAAAAATATAAAAGTACAGTTTATGATCTTCAAATAAATGACACATTTTTATTTAAACTACTATATGCTACTATTTAAACTAGTAGCGTATGATATTGGTCATAATTATGCAAGCGATCCTTAATAAATGTCACTAATGCATAACAAAAAATTTAGGTGGTTCGTGGCTTTTTGCAAGAACAAATATAAGGGGTTGGAAGAAAGGAGAGTTGAACTGCAGAGGTAAATTGCTATGCTAAGGAAATTGGACTTTATCTTTTGTCCAAAAAGAAGTCTTTTCGAAGAATTTTAAGAGAAAGACTAGATAAGATTGCCCCTTAGCAAGATCTCCTTGGCTGCAGTGTGAAGAATGAACTGGGAGTGAAACTTTGAAGTAGGGAAGACCAAGTAGGAAGCTGAGCTGAGCCAGAAACCAGTGAGTAGCCTGAAACAAGATTGTGGCAATGGGGAAAGAGAAAGAGAAAGGGAGATGGGAGAGATATACTGAGATTTAAGAAGTTTTAAGAAGAATAAAAAGAGGATTTAGAGATTGTTTGGGTGTGGAAGTAGGGTAGGGTGAGGGATAGAGTAGACAAATTAAGGATAACAATACCCCAAATTCCATGTTGGGCACTTGCAAGACTATTGGGATAGAAATATAGAAACAGGAACAGACTTGAGATATAAGATAATTTAATTTTACAAATGCAGTATTTGGAAGGCTCTGTGACATCCAAGTAAATATGTCTAACAGACAGTGGGAGATAGAAACTTGAGAACCAAATAAGAGGTTGAAGGACCTACAGAAATATGTAATAATTATGGAAGGCCCAACCTAAAAAATGACCAAAATTTAAAGGATTGAAAGAGGAAATCAGACTGGAAGTGCTTTTGTTAATGCAGCATTATTAAAGAACTTCCATAAGATAGCTCTGGTAAGTGTAAAGATGAAAGGTTATGGAATGAACTACTTGGGTCCAAGCTTTAGCTTTATTTATTAACAATGTAACTTTGAGAAAGCTAACCTCTCTTAGCCAATTGTAAAATGGGTATAATAATATTAATATGCATTTTATAGGGGCAATATAATGAAATAATAATTGTCAATATTTTGTAGTCATGTGTAATATTATTAGTTATAAGAGAATAAGCTAACCACAGTTATGTTTTCTCAGGAGCTTGTAGAGATCTATAAGTAGTTCTTAGAAATATTGGAAAGAACAGGCAAAAATTAACTTTTACAAAGTTCAGAAATCTGAATTTGAATTAAATTTGCAATTCATTAGTACTGATGGCATATTTTCTCCTTTCATCCTCAACAGTGCCTCCCAGAACACTCACAGTTCCTACTGCCTTCCCACTCATGGCTACATTCACTTTGAAGCCCTCACTACCACGCAGAAGGAATGACAGTCAGTCAGGACCAACGCAGCCCCTGAGGTTTGAATTTACATCCATTGTTAGGGCTTCTTATTTGGAGTTCCAACCTACAAACTTTCGACACTAGAGTATTCAAATTTGCTTCATAACACAAGTAAATCCAGCAGCAAAAGCAAAATAACTCTTAGAAGTAAAGCTGTTGGATCGATGGCATTTTAAATAGTTTTTACCCTCACTGATAGTGATGACTTCAGCTCACTGCTATCTGAAATCAGTAATAAATATTCATAAGGTACTTTACTGAGTTCAAATCATAACATTGCTCCAATAGACTACAATTTCAGGCTACAGTAAAATGGGCAGGATAAAAACTAAACAAAAATAAACTTCGGATTAGACCACTTGTTTACTTGTACTATTTTAAAATAGATATGAGACCATTTTCAATTTGTACTGGGTGGAACTTCCACATTACTAAAAAGGAAACTACCTCACAGGTTAAGTAGAAGAATGTTCTTAACCCATCAGGGGTGAGAATAAGAGATGGTCTGATATAGTTCCCATGAGCCCAGGAATGGAAAGCCAGGACATTTTTTCATTATTTATGCTACAGTTTGTCTATCTCTTATCAGACTTATAGTTAGAAAGAAAAATGTTTCCATTAGCAGAAAGACTATTTTTTTTTAAATTAAAATTTAAAATTTCACAGCCACGCACACTATTCTGTAGAGCATCACTGTAATGGGAATTGTGAAATGTTCATTGTCCAATGCTATGGGATTGTCTGCTTAGCAGTAAAACAAACAGTATTCTTGAATAAAGAAAAGTTAAAAGTGCTATTTCCACCAAGGAGTACAATTATATGTGGATATCCTTTAGTGAAAATAGAGTGAAGAACTTGTCTCTTAGTTCAATTAACATGTCCAAATGTTCATTTTATAGTTGAAAATTTTTTCCTAAACAATAATTCAAGCTTCTGATTACCCATTTTTACCATCTTTATTACTTGAATAACTTTCCTCTTGACCATTTCTAATTTGGGCAAATAAACTGAATTATTTGAAAATCTATTATATATGATAAACCACACTCCCTCTTTCAGAAGCTGTTTTGAATTCTGATTGTCCCAGGAAGAAAAAAAACAAGGTGTTGTATAGAAAAAAAAAAAAATCATTTTCAGCATTGAGTTTATTTTCACAAACAATTCCTTTCTAGTTCTCTCCTGACCAATGAGACTCTTTTGGAAGACACAGGCTCTTGGCAGCATTACTACCCATCTTCTCAAAACAGGAGTTTTCAAAATATATCTTGAAAACTCATCTGCCACTGTGGTGTCAAAGCTCTGAAGCATCTGGCCCTCTTATCGAGCACCCTCCCTCATCTGCACTGAAGTCAAACTCTTCTGCCCTCCTTTTCTAACCTCTTTGCAAGTGCTTAAGACCTAGATCTTTTATGTTTGTGGACAGATAAACTCCTAAATTTGCACTTTGAATTACTTTGTCCTAGATATTTTTCTACTAGAACTGGCCCTTTTAATTGTACCATGCACTTAAATTTCACTCAGCACCTACCACTCCCACCTTGCACACACACACACACACACACACACACATATATACACACACACACACACATATAACATATGTAATACATATAATATACATAACATGTATTACATATCTAATATTCAGAACCTAATAACTGGTTCTCATCCCTAGTAAAATTTGCATTGTGAAAATTTTATTCTAAATAATGAATTTGTTTTATAGAACATTTTCACCTAATATTTTGCTATATATACATTAGCAACACAGTTCGAAGACCAGTTTTGTCTATTGTTATATGAGATTTAATTAAGTTTATTTGCAGCAAACTCATACTTTTTCCTTCTACCTCATGGCCTCATCTTGGTTGTTCTGTTGTCTTTACCCATATCCCTTACCTGATCTTTAAAAGAATTACTCAGTCATTTTTTTCCAATTAAATGAAATATGTAGGCTTCTATCTAATTCTTTTAGTCCTTCCATGAATAGTAAATGAGTGAAAAATTAAAAATGCAAAGGCTGGTAATATTATGCAATAAAAATAGACATTAGAGTAACTTTAAATTTGAAGATAAAAAATTACTGACATATATATGTATCTGGAAGCCTGTGTGTACATATATACATACGCATATGCTATATACATGTATATGTCTGTGTGTGTACATATATATACATATGTATGACCCAAAACTGTAAAATTAAAATTTAAATAAAAAATCTAAATAAAAAAATTTTTTTATTTAAATAAAATTTAAATAAAAAACTTTGAAAAAGGCTTTTGTACTTTTTGTTTACACATCATTAATTCTAAGTAGAGGATGATGACTGAAATTTGGCTTTTTCCACTTTCTCAGAGGATATTTATCAAATCATATTAAAAACACACATAACACATAAAACAGAAAATAGATATATGTTTTAATGTTTTGTTACTTTCATTTCCATTAGACTACATTCATGGTTACTTGAACCTCTACCATTTCTTGGCTATTCCTTCTACTTACATGTAGCTATTCACTTCTCAGAGATTAGCAATTTAAGCATAATCATTAAAACAATAATGTCCCTGGATACTGATTTTCCCTGAGTACAGGATTAAATGTCAAAAACTAAATATATAACTACGCTTTGTCAATACTTTGTATTTTACTTTGCTATCCTAACATTATGGAAACTTGAAATTTTTGATGTAATCTTAGGATCTGTAAGTATTAAAGGTACATTTGGAGTCATTATACTTCGTAATAATCAAGGCACATCACTTTCTATATTCCTATGTAGTTCAAATTTTATATATTATAATATCGTGTGAAAGTCTTAATTTTGTTGAAAGCCCTGATATCAAAAAACCTTCATCAATTACTAAGAAAATAATTGTTTATTAGTAAATAAAGTTTTATCTAAGAAAATTATTTAAGTTAAATGAATTTTAGTAGCTAAAATTTTAATTAACAATCTTTGGTAAACTGAATTCTTATTGTCTGATACTTTAGTTTATTCTATATATACTTTTAGTAATAGTTTCTACATTCTATTGGAGGGGGAATCCTGCACTGGGTTATACACTACAGATTGTTTCAATTAAGTTAATAAATTATAATTAAGTAACTTAATTTTAAAATATGACAATTCTATGTTGCAAAATTGTAAACTATGTATTTACTTTCTAAAGGCTTCTTAGAATGTGTTGATTTAAGGCCAAAACCAAGATGTTATATTTGAATTTAATAAATGTTGTTAGTAATGATTATAAAATCTTTTGCTAATGTAGGTACCTCTCTTATCAAAAAATGACATTTGTTTTAAGACTTTGAGTATAACTAACAGATAAATAGATTAATTAATTTTAGGTTTAAGGAAGAGGTCCCAGACACAATGGTATACTCTCACTTAAGCTATCCTTCCACGAGGGTATCATATTCTGATCACTAGCACAGCTGTTAAAATACAAAATTCTTAACACTGATGAAAATAGACTAGTAGCAACAGTAAAACCATAGCACTGCTATAACAATGCAACCAGAAGAAAGTGAATTATAATGGGAAGATGAGCAAAAATCAGCTATTGACAATCGAAAGAATCTTTGTGATAATGAAAAGACTAAAAATCAAGCTCAAAATTCATTAAAATTATTTGCCTCATTTCTCAAAAAAGATATGACGCAAAGCCAGTGTTTTTATTAAATATATAAATCCATCTGGGATTTATTTAATATCTGACCTTTGAGGAGAATTCCTTTAAATAGGTTTTAGTGACTGGTCTTTAGTGTTTGGTCTAATATGAAGTGCTAAAATTTAGATTTATTTACATTTTCAGAACATACTTCTTTACAACATGATTTCTTATTAGAAATACAGTTTTGTGAGATGAAATTGTGGAGCACAAAAAAATGTTCTGAGAAGGCTGACTCAGATTTAACAAACTCTGAGGCAATGTGGTAATTTATAAAAATAGAAATTGTATCATCAAGATGAAAAGTACACTTTGAAAGTATTTCCAAAAGCCAATATGATATTTTGTGTTGTGATATTTTTTAAGGAACATGGACATTTCTAATCTCGCTTGAGGAATAAGTGGTATTAGAAATCAATTACTACTCAGTCAAAGTCTAGTTATTTGATTTAGAGATTGGGGTTCATTCTAATCCAGTGTTTGATTAATTGATGTGCGATAGCTCGGCTTGGTGGCACAAAGAAGGCCTGCTTCTTCCCTTTGGTCAGAACATCCACGACCTAAAATACACCACAATAACATGTATTAGTATTTCCATGCTATCATATTAAATACCATTTATATGCTTATACAATTCAACTAAAATGTGATGACTGTTACTGTGAATAACAGCAGTGGAGAGTGACAACATTCATATTCAACATGAAAAATTTAGTACGGTATCTATAGTTGCTTCAATGAGTTAGTGATTCAATTCTAGAAAGGCATATTTCTTTAAAAAACGAGGTCATGAAAAAGCAAAGTATATGCTCCACATTTATTTTCAAAGTGAAGTCAACTTCTAGGACAGGTTCGGTTTTATAAAATTCTAAAAAAAAAATCTAATTTCTGCTTTTTGAGCTTGAGCATAAAATAAGTTTTGTGTAGACAAAGTCAGAAAGAATTTCAGGTCTTTAGTATTGTAGTGTATCCATCCATCTGTTTTCTGTACAAATACTTTGGGTCATGCATAACATAGACAAGTAATTTATCTCTCATTATATTACTTAATGATGGCATTTAAAAAAGTTTTTGTGAGTATATGTTTCTTATACAGTTTCGTCATTCTTGTCCTTAAGTATATTTTAAAATGAACAAGAACTTTTCAGAAATTTTAAGCATTTTTACTGATTTTTTTGAGAGATGTTTTAAAGCTATAAATTAAAATATAAAACGTCTAAGAATGATATTACTGTTTCTCATCTCTGAAATAATGTTTACCTATTTTAAGTCCATTGAAAGGTATTAATATGAAGGAATGGCATTTGAAATTAGAAAATGGCATAGAACCATCATTACTAGATGAATCTTACAAAATGAGTTAACATAGGACAAACCAATTACACTGTAATCCATGCATGATGAATGGGCCATAGCCATTCATTCGACTTGTTGAAAACATGTAACCCTGTTGCATGCCTAAACCAATACAGTCAGAGAACAATCAATAGAAGAAAGAAATTAAATTGAACTTTACCTGTTCTCTAGTGAACCAGCGGGCATCCTCTATTTCATTCTTGTCAACTTTAATTTCTGTAGACACAGCCACAGCTAAGCAACCAATCATTAAGGAGGAGGGCATGGGCCATGGTTGACAAGAGACATACTGAACATGGCCAACTTTGACTCCACTTTCCTCTTCTACTTCTCTCCGAACAGCATCTTCTATTGTCTCCCCTAATCAAATGGGGCAAAAGAACAGGTAGTTGATGAACATGCCCTGGATAGTTTGTGTTCCGATTGGTTTAAACATATGGAAATCACTTTGGACAGAAACCCAATTCAAAGAATCAGAAAGCAGAAACCTAAAACTAGACCAGAATTCAAGAAAACATTATATTTAAAAGTATATGACCATATACACAATCAAAATACCAATAAACTTCATTTCTTAAAGGTCCTAATTTTTAGTTACAGTTTAAAAATTATAACACCTACAACTATCCAGCACCTACTATTGGCTAAACACTATGCAGTATTTCATTTATGGATTATCACTAGTTATAAATATCACTATGTAATTTTTATAAAAAGCTAACATTTTCTGCATTAAAATCTTGAAACTCTTTTATGTTGCTGATTATTGCAGATTACTCTTTTCAAAATAGTTAAAAAGCCACAAAGATGAAACTTAATGTTTTTCTTTCTAAATGAGTGTTTTCCTCTGGATGACTGTTAACTCAGCTAATGATAAAATAAAATGATTCCTATAAATGTATTTGATTTGTTGGAATTGAGAATAGAATAGAGAGAATAGTTTCTAAATTAAAGTTTACCTAGAAGTTAGAAATATTTTGCAATATTTAGAAATATTAGGGATATTTTGCAAAATATTTTGCAAAATTTAGAAGTTAGAAATATTTTGCAATATTTAGAAATAAACAACCAAAACAAATATAGGCAAAAAATATAAGCATGTAGAATTCAGAGATAAAGAAAATTGTATGCTTAATACACACTTGTAAAAGTTGCTCCATCAGCAGGGAAATGAAAATGACAACTATGATGACATATTATTTCACACACATCAGAATGGCAAATTAAAATGTCTGAAAATCCTAGCTTGGTGAAGATGTGGAACAAAAGAAAATTTCATGTACTGCTAAAAGGAGTGTAAATTGGCCAAGGCTCTTCAGAGAACAACTTGGCAATCTCTAGAAAAGGTTAAGATGCTCGGATCCTATGATGAGCTAGCAATTCTATTCTCAGGTATATACGCTAAATAACTCGCAAATGTGTCCAAGGAGTAGTATAAATATATTCATGGCAGTATTATTTGTAATATCAAGAGCTTTAAAGTGAGCTAAATGTCCAAAAGCAGAATGAATAAATGAATTTCAGAATACTCACAAATGGAATGCTATACAGCAGTTAAAAAAAAAAAAAATAACCTAGAGCTACTAGAGGCAGCATAGTGATTAAAAGCTCCCAGGTTTGAATCTGCACCCTACCACTTACTAGCTACTTGACCTTGGCAAGTTATTCAGTCCTTGTGCCTTAGTGCCCTATCTAAAACTGCTTTAACAGTATCTAACTTTATAAAGTTGTATGAGGATCATATAATTTAATATATGAAAAACCTTCAAAACAGAGCATGGCTATAAATATGTTTACTATTATTATTTATCAATGCAGGTTACTATTAGAAGTTGAGATTAAACATGTATTAGATATATTCGTTCATTTATTCCACAAATATTTATTGAACGCCTACTACATAAGAGGCACTGCTCTAAGAAAATCTTGATACACCAGTGAATAAAACAAAGTCCTTGCCCTTAGGGAACTTACTTTCTGGTATGAGCAGATAATAGCTAGCTAGCTAGCTACATATGTGCACACATACATGCATGTATACATGCATACATGCATACATACATACCATGTTTGGTGGTGATGAATGCTACAAGGAAAAGTCAGGTAGAATGACAAGAACTGTGGATGCTGGGTATAGCGCTAACTAATATATTTGAGGCTATCAGGGAAGGCCTTTTGAAAAGGTAACAGCCGAGTCTAGTACAGAAGTGAGGTGTAAATCGTGCAGATACCTTGGGTAATGGCAACATATGAAAGCTATATGACAGAGTACTGAATTTTTAGAACAGACAAAATTATTCCACTTGTCAAGACAAAAATTATATCATTTAAAATACACAGAAAATATTAAAAAAATCCCAGTTTTATAATATGATAATTTATCAAAGATTTCTCAAATGCTGTCAAAAATTTTTATTTGAAAATTATTAGCTAAATGAAAATTATAAAAATTATTAAGAAAAGGCTTACCAGGTTCAATAAATCCAGCAAGGCAAGTAAACATGCCTGGGGGAAATCTTTTCTGCCTGCCTAAAAGACATTTGGTCCCATCTGGATGAATAACTTGCATGATTACTACTGGATCTATCAAAAAAAAAAAAAATCAGACGTATAAATGACAGAAAAAAATAATTTAGACTCATTGCATGAAGTCACTGTCTAATGTGACAATAAAAAGACTTTAGTTTCTAGTTACAAGAGGTTGTTTCTTTCTACCTAGTGACAGAGTATTTCAGGGAAGTAGCATAGAATAATGTCAGATAAAAGAAGATCAATTTTGCCTTCCTTCTCATCTTAATAGCAACACGTATTGTGTACTTAGGTATGCTATTTTTGAATAAAAAAAGTTTTAGAAGGTAATACATGGCATGGAGAAAATTCAAATTTTATCATAGCAAATGTAGTGAATTTCCCTCTCTCCTTTCCATATCAATTCTTAACAAAATGATTTTAAAAGCTCTATGTAGCTCTATGATTAAGTCCACTAAAAAAAGTATATTTGTATTAAATAACAATTAATCTCTCCAGAAGTCACTGATTTATTGAATTATCCTCACTAGATCATGACCGAGAACCAGGAATATAAAAGGCTCCTGAGCAGCAAAAACAGATCACTAAACCATGCATTTTACTCTCAAACCTCCTTAGCTGTTGCTGGGTCTATGTGTTTTCAACAGTTTTAAAGGGCTGGGTTATCTAAATCTACAGCAGACTCAAAGCAGGCAATTAAAAGACAGACAGAAGGTACAAGCAGATACCAGGCTATACTGCTTATGGGATGTCTCAAACAGGCACTGAATTTTCGGGCTTTTTTTTTGTCTTTGTACTAAATGGACCCGGATTAGTGAGCTTTTGAAATCATGTATCTCAACAAATTCATATTGATTAACCTAGGGATAAGAAATGGCTAATTATGTACAATGTCCTTTACTTGAAAGTCATGAAGGTATGTCATAGTATTTACAGTCTTATTGGTTATTAAATTAAATATGCTTTTAATAAAAAGGTTAACCCCTCAGCTACTCAAAATCTTGTCTTTCCAGAATGTCTCATTCCATAAGATTCTAGATGGCTGAGATTTCACTGTAAAAGGCTTACCAACTCTTGGATATGATGTGTTGTGAACACCATGGAGGCTAGGACACTGTTCTTTTAAGCACACTCTTTTATAGCCACCTTCTTCAATTTTAGTTGCACTTCCACAGGTTGGGCAGAACTTATATCGACTGTGCCATGCAAGAACAGATCTTGCTTGAGCTACAACCCCTTTAAGAGAAGCACAAAAAGTTTTAATTCTGTCACAAAATACAAACAAATTAATACGTAAGTAAAATGTCCTTAAGTCACAATAAAGATATATATTTTCTAAATAGCTGTGTGATCAAAGGTTTAGTATTCCTGTTTTTATATGTACATTTCTTTTAAAGTAAAAGATTTAATTCTACAGATCACAAGTGAAATTTAGATTTAACTTTAATTTGAACTAATAAAATAAAACTTTCATATAACATCCATCTACTATACTCTATTAACTCAGTCTTTTACAACAAGCGATTTTGAAATTTTGGATATACAAGATTCTAGTGCATAGTGACTTTACAAATAGTTACTTTACAACAGTGACTTTTATAAAAATACACTACAAAGGCAGTTCTTAACATAGACTTGAACTATAAAAGGCAATATTACTAAGAAACTGCAGGAACCCATCTCTCCTTGGTACTAAGCCACTACTCGTCCATGTCACTGTGGAACATATTCTGTTTACAAATGGAAACTGCATAGAGTATAAAAAAGATACTGTATTTATAACATTCGTGGTTAACTTTGTTTATGGAAAAAAATGCCTAACAGAATAAATCTTAGAATATACACTTTGGCTATCGTCTTTACCTTAGTACTTAAAAAAAGGATATGCCCTGACCAGAAATATTACAATTGAAGCAATAAGACTAGAAATGCTATATTTCAAATGCCTGACAAATGTTCTCCCTAAAATACATTATTTGGTCCAAGGATTTTGGAAATAAATAATCTTAAACAACAATAACAATATTTTAAACTGGAAAAAATGAAATAAATCATAAATAAAAACAAATGTAACAATGAAATTCAATAAACCATAGGCAACATTAAATATTTGCCTGCTATATTACCTCATATCATGTAACTTAGTCTAAGGTAACTACATTAGTTCAGTATCATTACAATAAGAAAAACTGACGTTAATATGAGTACTTACTATATGCCAAGCATCATGCAAAAATCTTTATATATATACATCATCATATTTAATGTTTAGAGCAATCCCATGACATAGGTATTATTATTATGCTCATTTCCTGGAGGAGGAAACTGATGCACAGAGAGGTTAAGTAATTGTGTAAATTTATATAGCAAGTGAGTAAAAGGGCCTCAGTTTCCTCAATAGTTAAGAAAAAAAGGTCCTTTTGATCTTAAAATTATATATATAGCTCCAAAGAAAACATATTTTATTTTCTTTAAAAAGTAGAATGTTTTGTCCACAAATGTGGGGAATAAAACTAACACTCTAGACTTTCGGTGGAGGTGTCTAAGCAATCTCTGGAAGGAACTCACCTAATGGAAGGTGACACGGTCAAGCGATCTCTTCCTTACCTCTCTTTAACTCCTCACTCTACCATGATCTAGCTTCTGCTCCTTCCACTCCACTGATGCTCCTCTTGCCAAATTCATCAACAATTTCATATTACCAAAACCAAAGATTCTTGAAAAAAAAAATCTTTGTCTTCATCCATCTTAAATTCTGAACATCATTCAACATATTTAACCAGTACCTCCAAGAAATACTCTGCTCTCATGGTTTGCATGCCTCCTGTTTTCTACCTGCCTTATGACCACACTGTTAACATCACCTTTGATGGCTCCTCTACTTCTACCTGACCTTTAAATGTAGAGAGATTCAGGTATAATTCCGAGGTTCTCTTTCTTGCCTGCTCAACTCTAAGTAATCTTAGTAGTCTCCTGGGATTTAAATACCATCTTTGTGTTGATGACTCCCATATGAGTATCTCCAGTTTGGACCGCTCCTCCTCTCTCCAGATTCTAATATCCTCTAAAACTTAGCATGCCCAAAACTGAAATCTTGACTTACTTGCTTCTCTTACTCATTACCCTACATAATTTTATCAAGAAATAGTATCTCTACCTACCAAATTACTAAAGTCCCAAACCTAGCAGTCATTCTTTTCTTTTTCTTTATTATATATTCTATACCCATTCCATCAGCAAGTTCTGTTGATTTTATCTCAAAAATATATCTTAAATGTAACTCTCTTCCATCTCTATTATTATCACCTTAATTTCAGGCCATAGTTCAGGTTACTATCACCTCTCTTATAACAGTCTCAACCTACTGATCAAGCCCAATCAGTTCTACCTCCAAAATATTTCAAACTCTTTCTTTCTACCTCACTAATCCAAGCAACTACAGTCTCTTACCTGGGATGTTGTAATCTCTAACCCCCTCTCAAAAAGACTCCTGACTTCCACACTTAATTACCTACAATTCATAATCTTCAAAGCAACCAGAGTGAGGGTTTTGTTTTTTACTTTTTTTCCTTAGACATAAGTCAAGTTATAACATTTAAATGAAATTTAGAATAAAACCTCTACTTTATTATCATGGTATAAAAGGCCCCACATGAACTGGCATACCCAGCAACAGAAAACAAAACAACAGTCAAGGTCTTTGCCATCAGGCTGAGTGTAGAGCAGGTGCTCAATAACGATTCATTGAAGAATTGAATAAAACCTGTATGCATGAGGGTTAATTCTGGGTGAAATTTATCTTGGCTGATTTAGACTGCTGTAACTGTGTAAGAGAGTGATTCCCTAGGCTGAGAACTTTACAAAGTTTCTAGAGAAGATAGGCTAATATCGTTGCTTATTGGAAAAAGTGTGCTCCCTAGAAAATGTAGATACATATAACTCCAATCTAGTTACAAAAACCAGATTATTACTAATACAAGCAAGCAGTGTTCAATTCTTACCAGCTTCTTTTTCTTTCAACTGTAGAAGAGCCGGCATTGGAGGATGAAGAAAATAACAATTTTCATGTCTTTGCTTAAATTCTTCGGCAGCATCAGAATCTATACCTAGAGCAAACCAGGCAATCAACCCATCTTCTTCTTCTCTTGGGACTTCCCCAGTATAATTAAGTAACTCTTTTTTCATTTCAAGTTCTACTCCAAGAAAAATCAAGGTGACCTTCTCAGGCTGAACCAAATAATCCTTTATATCAGTGTAGTTCAGCTGACAAAGCCTGACTTCTGGCTGTTGGGAACTTTCTTTATTGCCACCTAGAGTAACCAAGGGATTTAAATCTGAGAAAAGGATATAAACTGTGGCTGGATGGCTTTCTTTAGCTAGCAGCCAGTCAGAATTATTTCTTTTCTCACTTTTCCGGTCCAGTAGTGTCCTGCTAAAATAATTTTCACATTCTTCCACTTCATTGGTTAGGAACCAAGGCTTCTTCCCACCTTTAGCATTAGCTAATAAGTTAGCTATATGCTTATAACCCCAAAATTTAGCAATATCCAGTGCAGTCTGCCTTGATTTGTTAACAATGGACCTGTCACACCTACAGATGAAAGGAAAAATAAAAAAGGAAATAAACATTTTCTCCAGCATTTATTACAATAAAATATCTGCAGCTGCACATTATAGCCCCTCTATTTAATGATTACATGCAGTTTTTTTCTTTTAGTACATAATTTACCAATGGGAAGTTTAAAAGAAATAACCATAAATGATGAAAAGTTAGAGACACTGGATATTTAAAATTTCTGGATAATTATAAAATAAAAAAGCAGTAAGTTTTATGTGCTATAAGATACTAAAATTTTACAAGGGGTTCTTGGTAGTCCACTGGGTAGCTTTATTTTTTCTATTTGGGAGGAAAATATTAGATTAACTCATAAATTTGCTTTGCTATTAAGTATAAAATGTTAATTCCTTGATAAAAAGTTAAAAGCTTTTTGTTAGAAATTATGTTGCATTTTTATAAAACAAAACTGGCCAAAGAATTATTTATGAGACCAATGATACAAATATAGCTATAAGAAAAATTTAAAAGAAAAAATGTAACCTAGAAATTAAACCATACACTCCTTCAGATGGTATGCCTAAAATGTTTACCCTTTCTCAAGTAGAAGTTGGACAACATTTGCGTGTCCATTCCTTGCAGCATACATTAAAGCAGTCCAGCCATTTTCAGAAGTTTCATTGAGAAGAGATGGAGAATGACTGAGCATTACTGTTAACCTGGCAATATCACCTTCTGCAGCAGAACAGTGAAATTGGGAAATTATTTCTTGCTTTGGACTTCTTTCTATAGACGACATTTCTTCCTTAAAAAAAGAAAATAGAAAAAAACATTGGCAATTGCTTTTTATATCATGTTGAACATTATCTAAATGCTAATATAATTAAAATAATATATGTGGTTTCTAAAACAACATATTCATCAAAAGGTAGTGAAATGTTAACAGCATATATTTCAAAATTGTTATCAGTTAAGAATTTTAATATAATTCAACATGGCGGATGTATAAAGAGTTTTGGTAATAGATGAGGGGGCCATACCCTTGGGAGAGGGAGTCGGGTAATAGCTTTACAAAGAGGAGCAGGTACTTGAGGCAGACCAGAGAGACTTCAATATGGACTAGGAGCATTAGGGAGATTAAAATGGATAGAAGTTAAGGCAGAAATTTTTAGCAGATGACAAGTATTCTCTTAGATTCTATGGTACCAGAAACAGGTGTCTGCCCTCAGAGAAATTATGATCCTATAACGAATTCAAAATCTAAGTTTCAATTGAAATCAATTTATTGCTTTATCTTCCATAATTAATTCTGCATTCTATTTCGAATTGATTTTTGTTCATGGCATGAGGTAGGGGTCAAGATACATTTTTATCCCATTGGATAATCCATATGACTGGGCATCATTCTTGAAATTGCCATCTTTGGCTCATTGAATTGCAGTATTTCCGTTGTTATAAATCAGATGACCATATATTTTAGATCTATTATTGGACACTGTCCTATTGGTCACTATCCTTGAATCACAGACACTTTCTAAACCTTTAACTTTGTTTGCCTGCTTTGTCACTCTGTTGTTTCGGCAAGAAAAAAAATATAAAAAATTATTGTTTCATACCTCTCAACAAATGTTGCCTAATCATAGACTGAATATGGTAAGGCACAAACTGAGCTATTTTTATCTGGAAATGGTTCAGTTTCAGTTACTTATAAACTTCTCAAAATACTTTTTCTAAGATATGAATTTTTTTTCTAACTAGGCTTCTATCATTTGAAGCAACATGGTATTTAGGCTAAAAAGGAGGAAAGGTTATAATCCATAGTTTTTGACAGTTGTCTGTCAGGTTTTGACACTACAATTTGATCAATTTTATACTGGAAATAATATGAACATAATTTAGGGGAAAAATGGGAGAATGAGATTAACTTGTGTCTGTTCACCCTTCTTGTATCTTTCTGCTACTCATAAAGAAATAGGTGAAAACGATAAATAGGTGAAATATACTCCTAGGAATGGAAATATTTGGATAAAACCTCACATTGAAAATCGGTTTACAACTTAAATTAGAAGTGACTTCTATATTAGAAAAGTTCTTTTCTTTTGATTTACTATAGAATTTATCTGACTATTCTCTTCATATTGAGATTTCTAAATGCTTTAAAAATATTATGAATAACAAAAACTACAAATTTTAAGGACTTAGTTTTCAAGCATTGTTATATACTGACTCATGTGTAGTCTTCTTTCCAAGCTGCCTTTTCATTAAATTTATTTTCCATAAAATCTTATCATACAAGTTCACTAGTTAGGTTTACTTGAAGCAATATTTTACTGTCTCATGTTTTAAATTCATGGTCAGTTCCTCATCCTCCTCGCTGGCCACTCCAGGTGACTGCCAAACTGTCCTCCAAAAATACAGTACCATTCTGTAGCCTGTGATGCTTATGTACACAGTATTCTCAGGAGAAAGTTAAAAATGTACACTTTTCTCCTCAGCTTTCTCAGCAGAAATGCTATCTAGAAATAGAAACATTACTCATTCCAGAGAAACATGCAAAGTCTGATATCCAACTTCACCGCTTGAGTTACTTTTTCATTTCTCATTGACAGTTACTCCAGAAGGTAAGGACTTGAAGGCAGGATGAGGTGATTCCGTTAAATGCTACCCTTGCTCTGCAAGAAGAGCAAGGTCTATTCTGAGAGGTCGTTTAAAAGAATCTTAGGTTTAAAGTGTCCTAAGATTTTATACAAACCAACATCCACCTTTTACTGATGTTACTCAGGGCTCATTACTTGCCCAAGGTTACATAGAGAGATAGATAGACAGAAAGACAGACAGACAGACGGGGCGGAGATAGACAATACACACACACACACACACACTTTGAAGTCACTGACCATTAAACAAATTCCACTTCCTTGAGCAGTCAAGATGGCCATTTAACCAATCAAACGCCATCCATGTACGACGGTCTCTTGAAACGATCAAAGGCCTTGAGACAGTTTATATTCTGCGAGATTCCTTTTATTAACGTGGACCCACACATGAAGCAGCATTTTCTTTCCCCCACCTCAAAGACTGAACTGGAAACGCCACCGGCAGCAGGATCGGCTGCACTCCCCACTCCCTCCCCGGAGCCCTGGCTGCCCAGCCGCCGCTCCCGCGCTTGCTCCGGTGCTTGCACCAGCGCCCCAGGGCGACGTTGCGACAAACAACTAAGCAGGACGGGGCAGGACAGAGCGGAGGCAAAAGAGCATTGAGAATTGGTCACCGGCCCCACACTAGGGCCGATCAACTGGCCGAAGCTGCTACTAACCCAAAGGCGACCAGAATAGAGGAAACCAGGAAGTGGTCGAAGGACTAGGAAAAATCCCACACTTGCTCTTCTCAGTGCCGGATGGAGCCTTCCTGACTTCCGGTAGAGGGCCGGTGTCCTCGCACGATTTTATGGGAGTTGTAGTTTGGAGGCCAAAGGCTGTGACCGAGCCGAGAAGAGGCGGGGCTTGAGGGGAGCGGGGAAAACGTTTGGGAACGTTCCGGTAAGAGTTCCTGGCTGGAACCACTGACTTCCTGGCGGTGAGTGAAGGGTTGGTTATTCTTCCGGGTGAGACCAAGATGTGTAGGGTGTGGTGCTAACGATGGAAAACTCCAGATTTGTGGAAACGGTTTTAAGTTTTCCAGTATTTCGCACCCAGGTGACATAGTTCAGTGCATTGGAGTGTTCAAAGCATTCTTTTATGTTAAGTAAAGCAGGAGTATTGACCAAGTCATTACAGTACATGACCTTAAACAAGTTGTAGGCCTCTGAACTTCAATCTCATATGAAAGTGGTACCATGTTTTGAAGCCCACCTCATTCAGTCGTCCATTAAAAAGTCCATACAAAGAGCCCACAATACCTTCTTGGGTTGTGATGTTTAAATAGGCTGATGGATGCAGAACTCTTAGGACAGTGCTAAGTCTAGAGCTAGTATACACAACACAATTATTGCTGCCGTTATTATTTTATTTGGTTCACTTTAATGCTCCAAAAGCTACAGAAGTTACATGCGTCAGATTACAAAGGTAGGTGTTGTCAGTCTTCTAACATCCAGGTATTTTTACTAAGCTGTCTTCTTGGAAATTGTCAACAATTAAGTAGTCTTTTAAGGTTTACCATTGCTTTCTACCCTGATTTTAGGCATTAGAAGCTTCTTACAGTGAAGTTGTATATATTTGTCAACATTGTCCTTTTATAACTGCTCTTTTTAGCTTTGCCCTGTGCTTCTTTCTGAAAATAGTCGTCTTCAGTCTTCAATGATTTCAATGATCAGATATTTCAGAAATACTAAGTTTTAGTTAATTCACTTGGAATACCCAATCTTTGTATTCAAACATATATTGAGATAAATAGATTAGTATAATGTATGCTCATATATTAATCATCCAGCATAAACAATTATTAATATATAGTCCTCCTCTCAGCCCTTTAGATTATCTTGAATTCTAGACACCAAATTATTTTATTGTTGAATATTTAAGAATAAACATTTGGGATTATGTCTATATATCTATAATAGGGCTTTTAAAAAGAACATTACTACAATATCATTCGTCCAACTTAAACTTTACAATAATTCTGTAATAGAAAAGAGACATTCAGTATCAAATTTAATCATCTCATTAAAGTGTTACTCAAATAAGGACCTAAACAAAGTTCTACATTACATTTGATGTTTTTCACTCTGTAGGTTCCCTTCTAATTTTTTTCTTGTAGCTTATTTGTTAAGGAATAATGATCATTTGCTCTGTAGAATTTTCCACTTTCCGAATTTTGCAAATTCTATTCCTATGGTGTCTTTTCCCATGTCTTCTTGTAAACTGATAGTTAAATCTACAGGATTATTCAGATTAAGGTTTTTTTTTTGTTTTGTTTTTTGGCAAAAAGATTTCATAGGTATTATTATTTCTTTCTTATTACATTACATTAAGAATCATACACTGGTTGTCTCTCTTTTTGACATGTTATTTGGTTTAGATGTTGTCAACCTGATAAAGTTTGTGATAAATATACATTTTTCCCAGCAACTTCTCAGCTAATTATTTTCTCAGCTGTTGATGATTATTGCCTAGGTCCATTATTTCATTTAGAGTTGCAAAATGGTGATATTCTAATTTGATTATTCTACATTTACTAACAGAAATTATTTTATAATAAATAACTTTGCCTCATTAGATATCTGTACAGTTTATCTAGGAAGACTAGGATAAATGTGTGATTTTCTCTTTTATTTCCTGGTGTTCAGAATTATGAGTTAGTTCCCTAATATCCTTCAAGTTTTTAAGTATATTTACAAACTCATGGATGTTAACATTTTTAATGTACTTCATGCCATCAAAGATATTTAACAAGTATTTTTATAGTATTTATTATGTTGATGCTTAAGTTGTTTCTTCTTTGGCCTAGTGGGCTCCTGAGTTCTTTTGACCAAGACGTTGTAGTGTTTGATAGTTTACATTCTTTCTGGCATGAAAAGGTGTTTCAGAGTCATCTTGTAAGTATTCTGCACAGACATGGAATCAGCCCTTTCTCTGAGGAGCCTTGATTCCTTTTAGTAAGAAACGGCATTTAGATACCACAGTTTGCTAGAGGGTTACCAAATACTTCTTACATGTAATCCTCTTTTGTGGAAACTGAACAGATACAGATCCTATCCAATAAGAGTTTATTTTCCAAGGACATTTTGGTGCCCACATAGATGTCAATGCCTTAAAATAATGTTTTCATTTTATTACATTCCCAGTTAGAAACTTAAAGTTTCTTCAATACTTATGAGAAAAAGTTACAACTCTTTAGCCTAGCATTAGACACCCTCCTTAATATGAACCCACCATGTAATTTTAGCTATATTTTCCCAAGAATATAGACAAACTGGCTTACAGCTGACCTAGGAGACTTCTTATGCTTTCCTACTTAAATACTTTTGCTCATGCCGATTTTCTTGACTTAAATGTTTTCCCTTAATCAAATACTACTCATTTCACAAAGCCTAATTCAAGTCCCTCTTTCATTGGATCTTCTAGATCATATCTGTCCATGTGATTATCTGTTTACTACCAGTATCCCCTTGCTCTTGTCACTTCAGTGTATGTTGGCTCTTCTTTCAGTTGCCAGCAATTTCTTTCTTTACTCGAGGTCTTTTACTTGTCACCAAAGCCCACTTTGTCCTTCTGCTCAGCAGACCAGCATGCCAGATAATTAATACTATCTGGGAGCAGCCCTCAGCTAATGACTGACATGATTGAATATATAAATACCTCTCACACTTTTGCTACACTGGCTAAACTGTTCTCATCTGGCTGCCAGAATTCCCCAGTGGGATTAGGATTTTTATCTACAGTAGACACTTGATTAATAACCAAACCTTTGTCTGCTGTCCCTTCCCTTTCTCACTTCCTCTCTTCCCTTCCATTGTTTTCTTCTAGATAACCAATTGCTTGTGAATCATTGTCTCTGGATTTCCTTCTTGGCAAACCTAAACTGAGACAAGGATTTTTTTCCTCCTTTCAATTCATAACTCCTATTTTATAGTAGTTATAGTAGTTAGCTTTCTCGGCATAGTTTAGGAGAATCATTAGCATCATTAAATAAATAAATCCCAACTACCACTCATTCTGGAACATACTATATTCAATTATGTATATGAGAATATTATTGCAATTCAATACATGAAACTGGATTGATTGTTTTTGAGTCAAATGATTTGGAGTTCAAATTTGAAACTGTTTTTTTTTTTCTCTACTCACCCATGGAATCACTTTACAAAATGGCTTATCCCTTACTATTACCAGCCTTGTAAGACCTCATGGACCCATTGTTGTATTTTTTAATTTTAACTGCTCTGGAAAGTTACTCTCCACCTTTTTTGGGTGCCCTGAAAATAAATGTTGTGTATAATGCATAGACTATTTCTAGAGACAGAAATATGCCAACCGTATACTGCAAATTTCATGAAAATCCATCCAGTCATTTCCCATCAACCGGAAAGAAACCTGACTTTATGGACAGTACATAAATAAAAGTTTATGTAGATAATTATACTTGGTAACTAATCTTATATTATCTGGAGTTGTGCTTTATTCTTGCCACACATTACTTTTAAGTTTTTGTGTTAATTAACACTTTATTTTTTTGCCTTTTTTCTAATATATTGTAATTTTTTAAATGAGGAGTCAGATTTTTTAAAGAACTATCATAATAGCTACTTTTCTTTCACTTTTAAGCCACTAAATAAAAGTTGGTTGTTGATAATGATTAGATATGCTGGGAACTGTGCTTTAACTCTACACAGTTTAGAGATGAATTCAATAAAAGTGAGGGGATCTTGAACTCTACATAAGGTTCTTGATATAAGATAATTTCACATGTAACTACACACAGGGGCATTTCTAATTTACATACATTATACGAAAATTCTGTATTCTTAAATACACCAAGTTTGCTCTGGACTTGGACTAGTTGTTCCTTTTAAAATACTCTTCTATGGCTATAATCAACAGGACAAGTAATAACAAATGTTAGAGAGGACATGGAGAAATCGGAATCCTCATACACTGTTGGTAGGACTGCAAATTGGTATGGCCACTATGGAAAGTGATATGGAGGTTCCTCAAAAAACTAAGAGTTAACCTACCATATGATCCAGCAATCCCTCTACTGGGTATTTACTCCAAAAACTTGAAAACTCATATTTGAAAAGATATTTGCACCCCAATGTTTATAGCAGCATTATTCACAGTGGCTAGAACACGGAAGCAACCAAAGTGTCCTACGCTAGATGACTGGTTAATGAAGCTGTGGTACATATATACAATGGAATATTACTCAGTCATAAGAAGGGATGAAATACTGCCATTTGCGACAACATGGACGGACCTTGAAATAATCATATTAAGTGAAATAAACCAGACAGAAAAGGTTGCAAATCACATGATATCACATATGTGGGATATAAACCTAAAAGCAACAAATGAATAGGACAAACAAACAGAGACTCATGGACATGGACAATGGACTAGTGGTTACAAGAAAGGAGGGGGAAAATAAAAAAGTAAAATATTAAAAAAATTATGTATATATAGTATGAAAAAAAATAAATTGGCATTTAAAAACTTAAAAAATAAAATACTCTTCTAGCAAACACTCCTGGGCCCCTTCCAAGAGTACCCCCTCCCAAGCTGACTGCTCTTCTGTCTCTATCTCCATAGGTTAACTTTGCCTTTTTTTTTAAATTGAGGTATAATTGACATGCAACATTATATTAGTTTCAGATGTACACATAATGATTTGATAGTTGTATATATTGTGGAATGATCACCACATTAAGTTTAATTGAAATCTGTCTCCATACATAGTTACAGAATTTCATTTTTCTTGTGATGAGAACTTTTAAGATCTATTGTCTTAGCAATTTTCAATTATGAAGTACAGTATTATTAACTATAGTCACTGTGCTGTATATTACATCCCCATGGCATTTATTTTATAGCTGGAAGTTTGTACTTTTTGATTCCCTTCACTTATTTTGCCCTTACCTT